TTGTGTGTGTCACAAAGTCCATCAACAACAAGATCATTAGGGGAGTGAGTGAAAGTGTTTGTCCATTTTTCACAACACTATTTCTCAAGTGGGCTCCCCTACATTACCACCAAGTCTTTTATCACAACCATCTTCCACCCAGATGCGTCCCACCACCACTTCTTTCACATTACCACAAACCAATCTCCCACAAAATTCTTTAGCCGACCCTTCTTCTCCTGTGGGTCCTCCACTTGTCCCTCAACCATCTTTAGCCTGTCCTCTTCCAACACAATCCTCTCCTGCTACCTTTCCCACTCTCTCTCCTCCAACCCAATTCGAAATAACCAGCCCAACCACTCCAAAAAGTACTCTTCGCACCTATGTTCGAAATCCACATCGTCAAATTGCCTTTTCTCCCCCAACAACCTCTTCTATCACCAACCTTGTTTCTGAACCACGTTTACCAAGTACATCATCTTCGTCTTTGCCCTTAGTGAGTGACTCTACAACTCATTCCATGATGACTCGTGCTAAGAGTGGTATTTATAAACCTAATCCTAAATATGCTAATCATGCCTTACTCGATTCTCTTACTAATGAATCTGTTGAGCCAACATCTTTTTCATAGGCTCATAAGCTTCCTCAGTGGCGTTCGGCAATGTCTGATGAGTTTAATGCACTTCTTCGTGCTGGAACTTGGGATTTGGTCTCATATCAACCTCACATGAATGTTCTACCAAGTAAATGGGTTTTTCGTATAAAAAGGAATTCAGATGGCTCCATTCAGCGGTATAAAGCACGTTTAGTGGCTAATGGGTTTCATCAACAAGCGGGCCTAGATTATGGGGAGACTTTTAGCCCCGTTGTGAATCATTCAACTATCCGTCTTGTGTTAGCTCTTTCTGTTCAGTTTCACTGGCCCATTCGTCAACTAGATGTGCAAAATGCATTTCTTCATGGATATCTTACTGAAGAGGTTTATATGCGCCAACCAGTTGGTTTTGTCAATCCAACCCATCCGCATCATGTGTGCAAGCTTCGTCGTTCTTTATACGGTTTAAAACAGGCTCCACGTGCTTGGTTTCATTGTTTCTCTACTCATCTTCTTCAATTGGGCTTCCGGGCTTCACTTGCTGACTCATCTCTTTTTGTCTACATTCATGGCTCAGTTCGCATCTATCTTTTAATTTATGTTGATGATATTTTGGTTACTGGTAATGATACTGCTAGTATCACCTCTTTGATTTTGGATTTGGGTCGTCGATTCTCTATGAAAGATCTTGGGCCAGCTCACTATTTTCTGGGTATGGAATTAACTCGGAATTCTCACGGTTTATCACTTACTCAATCCAAGTATATTGTTGATCTTCTTAAGCGTACAAAGATGCATGAAGCCAAACCAGTGTCAAGTCAACACTAGCTGTTTCAGGTAAACGTTTCAGCATTACAGATGGTGACCCTCTTCCTGATGCTACTGAATATCGGAGTGTTGTTGGTGCCCTTCAGTACTTGACTCTCACTCGTCCCGATATTGCTTTTGCGGTCAACCAAGTTTGTCAGTTCATGCATCATCCCACTACTATTCATTGGATTGCCGTCAAACGCATTCTTCGGTACCTCAATGGCACAATCACTCATGGTTTGTTTTATCACCCTAGTTCACTTCATCTACTTGCTTACTCTGATGCAGATTATGAGGGTGATCCGGATGATCGACGGTCTACTGGTGGGTATTGTATTTTTCTTGGTAACAACTTGATTTCATGGAGTTCGAAAAAGCAGCGTGGTGTCTCTCGTTCTAGTACGGAGGCTGAATACCGTCAATTGGCATATACTGCTGCAACCATCTCTTGGCTACGTTCTCTGTTCCAAGACTTACAGCTTCCTCTCTCCCTTCCTCGCATATGGTGTGATAACATTAGTGCCATTTCTTTGGCTGCCAATCCTGTGTTTCATGCTCGCACGCGCCATGTCTCAGTTGATTATCATTTCGTTCATGAGAAAGTGGTTCAGAATGAGCTTGATGTTCGTTATTTGTCCACGGTGGATCAGGTTGCTGATGTTTTCACCAAGGGACTGTCTGCTGCCCGATTTACTCTTTCACTATCACACCATTAAACCCATTGTGGCGCATTGCCAAAAGTTTTAACTTTGGAAGAGTCCCCAACCAAATGGGAAAAACATCACTGAATTGATTGTTTGACAAAACCAGATACTCAAGCATCACACAATTCGCCAATGACCTCGGTAATTGCCCCTGCAATTGGTTATGACTAACATCAATCATCATCAAACTGCTTCTGTTGTTGAATGGTTGAGTCAAGGTACTGAGGAAGCATTAGAGCCTCACTAAAGTTTCCAAGACACTGAGGAAGCGTGCCACTCAAGTTATTTTTCGACAAGTCAAGGTACATAAGAGAATTCATATTGCAAAACAATGGTGAAATTTCTCCAGTAAATTTGTTGTTACTGGCTCTATATTCTCGCATGGATGGTGGAAGGATCGGTAGTAGTCCACGAAAACTGTTGTTTGATAGCTTCAGGCAGAGCAGGTTAACCCAGGGTATGACAACTGGAAGTTCGCCCAATAGGAAGTTATCAGAAATGTCCACAAATATCAGAGTTTCCTTGCTTATGTTCCACATCCAGTTTGGTACTTCGCCATGGATTTTGTTTCCTGACATTTCCAACCGCTCTAACTTTGTCTGATTTCTTTGGAAATCTGGGAACTCTTTTAAATTGCATGTATTCAAATCCAGAATGGTAAACTGTTGAACAGTTACATCCATAACATTTGAAAATTGTTCAATAACAAATTCCAAATTGTTACTACCCAGTTCGAGTTTGTAGAGATTTTGCGCCTTCTGAAACATTTGGAACTCCACTACACCGGTCAGGTGATTTGACTGTAGACAAAGGATCTGGAGATTGATGAGATTGGAAAATGAGGCGGGAATTGAACCATTCAAACCATTAAAAGCAAAACATAGGTACTCTAGTTTGCTAAAGTTACCTATCCAAGATGGAATTGGACCAGTTGAAGAACTCGTAGCAATCCTAAACACAGTCAATTGGGTAAGGTTTGCCAAGGAATCAGGAACGGGACCTCCAAAGCTGCTTGCTGAAATGTCTAGGTAAGTGAGCTGTCTAAGATTGCCAAGTGCAGATGGAACCAACGAGTTTGAAAAATTGCATTGAGCGACATCCAACTTTTGCAATGAATTAAGATTTTGAATCGAAGAAGGTATTGTTCCCAAAAAACTAGTAAACCCAACTCTCAATGAGATGAGAGGACTACTTCGATTAAATTCGGGAAAATGTCCAGTGAGATATTGGTTGAATTTGACACTAAGAAATTTTAAGTTCGGTAGATTGAAGATTCTCAATGGGAATTCGCCAAGCAGATCACATTCCCTGAGGGCAAGGGATGTCAAAAATGATAAATTTGTCATGGAAACGGGTATGACCGAAGATATGTTAATGAAACTGAGAGAAAGAGTTTCTAGACTAGTTAAATTTTGAACTAGACTTCTCATATCGGATGGTTGAAGTTTCAACAATCGCTGAGGATGACCAGGAGATGTTTCATTTTCAAGAATATTGCAACACAGATTAAGGTATGTCAACTTGAACAAGTGTGAGACTTCAGACGGGACTTGACCAGAAAAGAAAGAGGCAGAGAGGTCAAGATGAGTGAGGAAGGTATGTCAACTTGGACAAGTGTGAGACTTCAGACGGGACTTGACCAGAAAAGAAAGAGGCAGAGAGGTCAAGATGAGTGAGGCTTGGAAAATTTCTTATGCTAGATGGAATTTGAGAGTAATTGAAGTTATTGTCAGAGAGGCTTAACCTTTGAAGATGCACCAGGCTGAACAGGCTACTATTGGAGTCGAAAGAGCCGTAGAGATAACTGCTGCTAAGATTAAGGCCAATAACAAGACCCGTTTTCTCGTCACAGTCCACAACATCCCACGAGCAGCAGCTGCTATTTCCTCCTCCAGCTGGTTTCCATGATGAAACCTTTGGATAAGCACCGTCATTACTTGAAGCAGATTTATCAATCATAAAGCTCTCCTTGAACTGCAGCAAGGCAGAGCTCTCCTCGGCATGGCAAGATAGCTGCTGCAAAGAGTCTACAAAGTTTGCAACCACAAGATGAAACAACAACAGAACTAGTAGTTTCGAGAGCATGCGAATAGACAGGCGAATCCCCATATGAAGAGCTATTGAACAAAGTTAGTTGGGTTCCATGTGGTAAAGCATGCATGGAAGTGAAAATGTGAGAGAGTTATAATTTATAGATTGGACTCAGATTATTGAGCTATAGGAGCACAGGACTAAATTTCAAACAAGATGGGGATGGGGAACAATGATGGTTTGAAATTTGCATCTACTTGCAAGAACATGTTCTTGACTTCAAGTGAGTTCATTTTGACTTGAAGTCAACTCGTCCAATTACCCGAAATATATGGCATTCAGATAGATCTTATTTGATCTTTGTTCTGCATCAAGACATATGAAGTTTCCATCAGGATCACTATACTAGTACCTTATTTTCAAACTTAAGAAGTTAACTTTTCTTGAAGTCAAGTCATCATCCAAATACCTAATAGTGGGGTATTCGATCATAAGCTAAAAGATGAGTACCGTACTTAATCAAATCTCTCTTTGGTCATGCCATCTGAGCTTTGGTCTTTGCTAATCACTCTGGATGCTACCCCTTTGTTAACGCCAAGAACAGATAATCATCACACAAATTTTCAGCTAGGAAATTAACAACTCTATGGTGTTGGAGGTATGACTAAAACTTTCTTTCATTTTCATTAGTTGATTTCAAAGTTGTTTTTCTAACCATTT